TCTAATTGACATATACAAGTATGTATGTATGTATGTATGTGAATATATATATATATATACATATATATATATATACATATGTATATATAATTTAGAGTTTTGGTGTATGTATGTCTGTATGTATGTATGTATGTACGTATGTAGAACTGGACATGTGTCTTGTAACCCTTGAGCCTCAGCGCTACAAACGTAGGACCGAAACCATTTTTGTTGGACGTCAGACACCTTGGAGCCTCGGTTTTTCTTTTAATGTCGGTGTATATACACCTGCATGCATATAGTGTATACATATACATATATATATATATAAATGTGTTTGTGTATATATGTTTTTACGAATACATGCCATATATGACCAAACAAAATCGACCCCAAGATTTTTGAGATCGGCAGGCGGAGACCGCGGAGGCCCTCAGTCCGCAGCCAAAGTCAGCTTGGCGCTCGGCCTGCGGCATCTTAAAGCCGTGAAGGGATCCGTGCCCTAAATAGGGTTTAGGGTTTAGGGTTTAGGGTTTAGGGTTTAGGGTTTAGGGTTTAGGGTTTAGGGTTTAGGGTTTAGGGAAACCCTAAACTTGGGATGTTCACCCTTTTTCCTAGCAATCCCTAAATAGTATCGTAAGGGGAATACTGTGTGGGGGTCGACTTTTGTTTTGTCGAAACAACATACCCCACTTGGGATGTTCCCCCTTATACTCACAGGTCCCTAATACGGAGCATAATCGGGGGTACTCGAATCCCCACTCGAATCCCTACTAAGGAGCATAAGGGGGAACATCCCAATACCACTCCCGTGAGCTTTGGAAGACTCGAGCCCATCAATGTGGGTGCTTGATGGTCCAGGTGTTAAGGGGTACAAGGAGGGACCCCTAGAAGGGACCCTCAAAGTTTATTCCCCTCAATATCCCCTGCATACACCTTATAAACTCCCTATGCACCTAGGTAGCCGCAGCCTCCAAAGGGTCCTTCCATACCTCATTAGTCCCTATACACCTAAGTAGCCCCTAAATCCACTAAGGTCACCTGGAAGGGTCCCTCCTTTCGCCCCTTGAAGGTGAACCTCCTGGCAGCTCCCGACCCACCAGCAACTAGGCAGGCCCTTTGGGATATTTTGCATGCTCCCTTGTTGGGGTTTAGGGTTGAGGGTTTAGGGTTTAGGGTTTAGGGCTTAGGGCTTAGGGCTTAGGGTTTAGGATTTAGGCCAAAAAGGTTTCATATCTTTCAAGAAGGGCTTTGATGGCCATCCCTAGGCAGGCGCTGTGGTGGTACAGGCGACCCTGGGCCTGGGGCCCCAACCTCGGGAGCGCTCCTGACCTGAGGGATGCCTTGCTTGGCGGTTCATGGTACTTATGAACCAATTCTAGTTGCACTTATAAGCCACTTGCAAGCCCCTTAAGTGTTCCCCAATATGGTTATAAGTGCAGTTATAAGTACAGTGATGATTGGTGAATAAGTACCATGAACCTCTAAGTGGAGACCCTGAAAGTCCATATGCCCAAAGGGCCCAATACACCTGAGTTGATTGAGGAGTATGCCTGAGGTCATATGAAGGACCCCGGTCTAGTTCAAGGTCATATACCCTTATTCAGGGGGTATATTGGGCTCTCTGGGTGCCTCCAAAAAAAAACGCCCTTGGAGGAATCGAGGAAAGCTAGTTTTTTGTTCGAGATCCACTTGCGGCTCTCGACCGCACTGCGAATTCGCGAGGCTGAGGAGCTGTCTCTTTAAGGCACTTTGTGGACGGCAAACCGCTCTGCAAGCAAACCCTAAACCCTAAACCCTAAACCCTAAACCCTAAACCCTAAACCCTAAACCCTAAACCCTAAACCCTAAACCCTAAACCCTAAACCCTAAACCCTAAACCCTAAACTCAAGGCAGAAGGCTGCTCCCGTGCCAGGCTCCTCAGCAGTTCCCCATCTCACAGCCAGAACCCCTCGCAAAGCTGAACCGCACTAGTCCCTACACCCTACACCCTACACCCTACACCCTACACCCTAAACCCTAAACCCTAAACCCTAAACCCTAAACCCTAAACCCTAAACCCTAAACCCCGAGTGTGAGCGATTAAACCCTAAAACCTAAACCCTAAACCCCACACAGCAGGGGCTCAGGATACCCCGAAAGGTTGCCAACGATGCACAGCGACCTGAATGCCACGGCTTGAGAAAGGCCCGAAATGCCAGTCTGGACCCACCATGGGGTTTAGGGTTTAGGGTTTAGGCAGGCAGTGGTGAGGAGACCTCCTGGAAAGGGTGTTAGGTCGTGCCGACTGGTCATTCCGCCACTTTGAAAACGCAGAATTCGGACTCTCGGTGCTCCACCCCGCGCCCGAAATCCCTTGAACCCTAAAAGCCCTGACACCCAAAATGCTGAACAACGCGGCAAATGCAAGCAAAGTGCTTGGAATGCATAAAAAACATCCCCTAAACCCTCGACCCCAAAATGCCTACACTCCCTGAACTCCCTGAACTCCCCAAACCTACACCCTAGAACCCTAAGCCCTACACCCTGAAAGCCCCTAACTAGACTCTTTTGCCCGGGAGCTGCAATCTTTTGCTCAGCGGAAGCGGGAGCCCGGGTCATGGCTTCAGAAGACACACCGCTGCGAAAGGACCGGGCTGTCATCGATGGCGAGGTGCAGGGTTTGGGGTTTAGAATTTGGGGTTTAGACCCTAACCCTAAACCCCAAACCCTAAAGCCTAAACCCTTTAGAATTTGGGGTTTAGACCCTAACCCTAAACCCTAAACCCTAAACGGTTTAGGGCTTCTGGATTCAGGGACAGGGCTGGGGCTGAGGGGTTTCCTGCGAGGGAGCGAAGTCCCATAAACCTGCCCTCGAGAGTCTACGAAGTCCGGCAGGCCTCTCAGCCCAGTTTTGGTTGGCTTAGGGTTTAGGGTTTAGGGTTTAGGGTTTAGGGTTTAGGGTTTAGGGTTTAGGGTTTCGGGTTTAAGGTTGCTACGTGGTTCGCCCCCCCCCCAGCGCTCTAAGGCAAACCGCCTGAGAACTCCGCGCGGAGTCTTAAGCCCTAAGCCCTAAACCCGAAGCCCTAACAGAGCCTCTCGGGTTTTGACCTAAACCACCTTGACCCTGAGCAGGTCTTCAAGATTGATGGCAAGGAGATCGTCTTGCCTCTCGGATACCCAGAAAGCTGGACCACCCCTTTCGTTACTTCGATCGGGTGGGTTTACTGTCCCCCTAAACCCTAAACCCTAAACCCTAAACCCTAAACCCTAAACCCTAAACCCTAAACCCTAAACCCTAAACCCTAAACCCTAAACCCTAAACCCTAAACCCTAAACCCTAAACCCTAAACCCTAAACCCTAAACCCTAAACTCTGTTCCTGGCAATGCAAAACCTCCAAACCATGGAAGCTTAACATCTGTGTCTGCGGGGGTTCGGGGCCTCACAGCCCCCGGCGAGCCTAACGCCCCTTCGTTAAGGAGCGCACCCTCCTAACCCCTTTAAAAGGCCCGCACCTCTCGTCGCCAGAATAAGAACCCTTATGGTAGCGAAGTATACCCAATCGGCCTGGCTATGAAGGACTTTGGGCCCAGCAGGTTGAGCTTCGAACCGGATTCCAGGATTAGGGTTTAGGGTTTAGTGTGCAGGGTTTACGATTTTCGGTTTAGGGTTTAGATGTTTCGAGCAAGGCGCCTGGGAGAGCCCTCATTGAAACAGGGGACTTTCAGGCATTGCCTTTACGGGTTTCGGGGTCCATGTGAAGTCGACAACGGGGTCAGGGGGCCACCCGCGCGCCCACATAGAAGACCCGAGTCCGCGCTTGTATAGTTTTTTCCTGGTTTACGGGTTCTGAAATCAGGTTTAGGGTTTAGGGTTTACGGTGTTTAGGGTTTAGGGTGCAGGGTTTAGCAACTCAGCTGTGGTTGCAGACAAAGTGTTCCCGGGGCCCATCGCCGACCGAGGCTAGGCGGAAACGTCGTCTTCAAGACCAAACCATGGTTCCCGCCTTTGGAGGCCTGAGCTTCGGTTCATCGGTACTTCTAAGTAAGGTTAATAAGTAAGGTAGCTTCTAAGTAAGGTTATAAGTAAGGTAGCTTCTAAGTAAGGTTATAAGTAAGGTAGCTGTGGTTCTAGCGCCTATTTAGAGCACGTGTGACCCCACTTCGGGTCCTAGAAGTCTGTAAGTCGTGCATTCAGGTGTGTTCTGTTTGGCCCCACTTCTAAGTAACCATGAACCTTCAGTGACCCATCATAGCCCATCTGTAAGCCATATTTATGACCCATCGAGGCCTCGGGGCAAAAGCGACCCAAAACCGAAACCCTAAACCCTAAACCCTAACCCCAAGCCCTAAACCCCTAAACCGCTAACCCTAACCCTTAAACCCTAAACCCTAAACCCGTAAACCCTAAACCCTAAACCCTAAACCCTAAACCCTAAACCCCTAAACCCCTAAACCCTAAACCCCTAAACCCCTAAACCCTAAACCCTAAACCCTAAACCCCTAACCCTAAACCCTAAACCCCCTAAACATCGAAATGGCAAGGCTGCGTGCTGGGAGTCGGAACCCTCAACCCATCTTAGCAGCTCGTCCCCTGAACTGAGGGGTATTGGAAATAAATTTTTAATTTTCGGTAGATATTTCCTAAGAAGCAGCACAAACATTAATTTTTGCTAGGGTTCCAAATTCAGTATAGATAACCCATTGGGATGCAGACCTTGCAGTCTTTAAGGGTTTAGGGTTCAGGGTTTAGGGACAGTGGGTGGGAGTGTGGAGGTGGGGTTTAGGGTGCCTTGTCCAAGGGCCTTGGTCAGGGTGTAGCGGAGCTTGCGAACCTAAAGAGCCCAATCTTTTGTATTATACACATACACTACCTGTGGTTGGCCCAGCGTTACTTTCAGCAGAGAGCATACTTTACCCTTCTTACATCAGGCTGTGCGTGTCGCGGGAACATGTCACCCTAAACCCTAGAGCCCTAGAACCGGAAAGCCCGAAAACCTCGAGCCTCAATCGGAGGTCACGCAAACATTTGCGAAATCCATGGCCGAGGGCGCTGCGGCGAGCTCCGACTCAACGCCCAAAACCCTCATCGTGAGGTTGCGGATATAGGGGCTTACCTGGGACCCTAAACCCTAAACCCTAAACCCTAAACCCTAAATACCTGCAGTTTTTCAGGGTTATGCCTGCTAAATCGGGGTTGCTTACTGCTACTCTGCAGGTAAATCGGGTTCGAGGCATGGCATGAACCGAGCTCCTGTTTCAAGAAGGTTTTATGCTTTTGGGGATTTGCTGGAGACTTTTTTGCGACCGGAAGCTCGAAAAGTCCAAAACCCTATATACACGAATTAACTACATAAACCCTCTAAACCTTCTAAGCCCTAAGTAAACCCCATAAAAAAACCCCATGGAAACCCTCTAAACCCCAAACCGAAGCTGCGCAAGGATAACCTCCTGAGCCCCTAAGTAACCCCCATCAAAAAACCCTATGAAACCCCAAATAAACCCCAAACCCCTAACCCCTAACCCCTAAACCCTAAACCCTAAACCCCAAACCGAAGCTGCCGAAGGATGGCGTACAAGCCCCCTCCCGCTGCAGACGGCTCACCTCGCGCCGAAGCATGGCTTGGATCGAGCTTGGGGATCGCTCGGGGGTTGAGGGGTCCTGGGGGGTTTAGGGTTTAGGGTTTAGGGCTTAGGGTTGAGGGTTTAGGGCTTAGGGCTTAGGGTTTAGGGTTTAGGGTTTAGGGCTTAGGGCTTAGAGCTTAGGAGGGCTTAGGGGTTAGGGCTTAGGGCTTAGGAGGGTTTAAGGTTTAGGGCTTCGGAGGGTTTAGGGAAAAGGGCTTAGGCCATCTGATCGTCGTGGGATCGACATGTCAGGGGAACTGATGAGCTATGTGGCTGAAAGGGGATGTTCTCACCCTTGGAGAAACATCGGGCGGCATCCAGAGCCCAAAACCCTAAACCCTAAACCCTAAACCCTAAACCCTAAACCCTAAACCCTAAACCCTAAACCCTAAACCCTAAACCCTAAACCTCAAATACCCTAAGCCCCTAGACCCTAAGGTGGTGCCTTGCGTCCGCCTGGGGGTGCTTATGGCGGGGGCCTTTCCGTCCAACGGCGCGGAGATCGCGGCTTGCCGGAAACACCTTCAGGGTTTAGGGTTTAGGGTTTAGGGTGTAGGGTTTAGGGTTTTGGGGGTTTAGGGTTTAGGGTTTAGGGTTTAGGGGTTTAGGGGTTTAGGGTTTAGGGTTTAGGGTTTCGGGTTTCGGGTTCAGGGCTTAGGGCTTGGGGTTTGGCTACATGTCATTACATGGTAGTAGATATGTATTTGTGTGATACTTATGTAACAACATGTTGATGGAAATGCACGTGCTGATGATGTAACCACACTAAAGCTGGATGGTCGGTGACACGCCTTGGGACTCTTCAGGATAGGCCGTTCGACACGAGCGCCGGGGTTTAGGGTTTAGGGTTTAGGGTTTAGGGTTTAGGGTTTAGGAGCTTCGAACTCTGGGTTGGGCTTGCAGAGCTGTGCGGGGGTTTGAGAGAACATGGTGGCGGCGCGGCAGTCCTGAGAGCATCCCATGCTGTTGCGGCGCCCCCTTTTGATTGGGGTTTAGGGTTTAGGGTTTAGGGTTTAGGGTTTAGGGTTTAGGGTTTAGGGTTTAGGGTTTAGGGTTTAGGGTTTAGGGTTTAGGGTGTAGGGGGTTCGAACTCTGGATGCTTTAGGATTCGGGTTGGACTGGCTCGAGGATCCTACCTATGCTGCGGCGCTCGACGCGACGATCAAAGCCTTTGGAGACGCAGGTGCCCCGCCAGATGTTACCCTAAATCCTAAACCCTAAACCCTAAACCCTAAACCCTACACCCTAAACCCTAAACCCTAAACCCTGTTTCTTACAGTCTAGGCAGGCCTCAGTCCAGAAACAAGGCGGAGCCGGGAACCCGAAAGCCGAGCCCCCCGCAGCCTCCCCGAACCCTAAACGAGAACCCAACCCCCGCGGGTTTTTGGGAAAAATGGACCACTAGGGTTTAGGGTTTGGGGTTTAGGGTTTAGGGTTTAGGGTTAGCGCCCCTATTTTTAAGACGGAACACAAACGTGGACTTGGGCACGCCCCTCGTCTGCGGTGGTGGGCCACAGATCCGAGGTGTGTATGTCTTCCTGGACCTACACCAGGATGCGTGCGCCACCACGAATGGGGGAGAATCTTGGCAAACCCTAAACCCTAAGCCCTGTGCCAAGAAACCCTAAACGCTAAGACCCCGAAAGGCGCAACGCCAAGTTTCTTTGTGCCTCAGAGCACACGTGTTGGCCATGTTTAGGATCTAGGGGTAGGGTTTAGGGTTTAGGGTTTAGGGTTTAGGGTTTTGGGTTTTGGGTTTTGGGATGTGAACTCCTGGGCAGCTCGCTGCCCCTTGAGGAAGGACTCCCCTGGTGGGTGACGGCTGACATGCAAGAGCGCGCGGGCTGCTGCCTGGAGCAGTGCTGCTGCTGTTGCTGCTTCTCTGGCAGCTGCTGGTCGTTCGGCAGTTCATGGGGTCCTTGCAGATGCTTGTGAGGTGGTTGGCAGTAGGGTTGTCATGAGTGGTAGCCAGTTGTCCACAAGAGTTACCGTACCTGATCGCCCCAAATCCGAGCGTGGATTAGTACCCCTCTCCCCAAAGGGGAAACCCTAAACCTTAAACCCTAAACCCTAAACCCGAAACCCTAAACCCTAAACCCTACAAACCCTACAAACCCTAAGCGTTAAGAAAATGGACCCCCCGGGAGGAATGGATGTGGGGGTTTGGGGCTGGACTCCTCCTCCCCCCCATCGGATTAGGGTGTAGGTTTAGGGTTTAGGGTTTTCTCCTCTCCTCTCCTCTTTCCTCTCCTCCTCTCGGCTGCTTACCTTCGCTGTTCCTGCTTTCCAAGTCCTGAACTGATGATTCAATATCCCTGCGTTCCTCTTATCTCTCAAGGAGGCTTTCCGTTATTTCCGGAAGCTTCGCTACTTCCTTGGATTGGGGCCTCGTAAGGGGGTAGTCAGGAGAAGATGATTTGGTTGGTACTTATCCTGCAAACCCTACACCTAAACCCTAAACCGTAAACCCTAAACCGTAAACCCTAAACCTTAAACCCTAAATCCGAATTAAGCCCTAAACCCTTAAACCCTGAACCCTCAACCCGAATTAATCCCTAAACCCTGAACCCTGAACCCAGAAAGACCAGGAAGCACTAAGTTAAGGAGTTCCTTACGGGTTTGGAGCCATCCCAAGCTTCCTCAGTTGCGCAGCAAATAGGGTTGAGGGTTTAGGGTTTAGGGTTTAGGGTTTAGGGTTTAGGGTTTAGGGTCTAGAGGGCCACTGTTCTAGCATGCACTAGTCATTAGGGGGTTCCAGGCTTAGGAACAAACCCACCCACCCAAAGAATCCCATAACATTAAGAAACATACAGTTCACTCGACAACGGTGCCGAAGCACCAAAATGGCTCAAGAACGGTGCCGACGCACCAAAATGGCTCAAGAACGGTGCCGACGCACCAAAAATGGCTCAAGAACGGTGCCGATGGCACCAAAAAGTGCTCAACAACGGGGGGTACATGCACCAAAAAGTTAATAGGGTTTAAATCTATAGGATAGAGAGGATTTAGGGTTTAGGGTTTAGGGTTTAGGGTCTAGGGTTTAGGGTTTAGGGTCAGGCCCTGGCCTGGAAACTCCTCATCCGTGTGCGGGATGGTCCAAAACCTTTCAATCCCAGGGCTGTTCGTTTAGGGTTTAGGGTTTAGGGTCTAGGGTTCAAGGTTTAAGGTTTAGGGTTTAGGGTTTAGGGTTTAGGATTTAGGGTCGGATAACGACCCTGGAGCCTAGTCGTAGGTCCTTGCACTTGTCACGCGCCTCGTGTCCACAAAGCAACACTTCGTGCTCTCAACCCTACCTCCAACGCCTCACTTGCTGAAACCCCAAACCCTAAACTCCAAACCCTGAACTCCAAACCCTAAACGCCAAACCCTAAACCCTAAACCCTAAACCCTAAACCCTAAACCCTAAACCCTAAACCCTAAACCCTAAACCCTAAACCCTAAACCCTAAACCCTAAACATGAGGTCCTGCTGCCCGGAGCGCTGCCGTACATCCTACATCGCCTCGCCGTCGCATCCTCTCACACCTTGCTGCCTCCCGCACCGTTGGCTGCTCTTGGGAAAGGTGTTTGCTTGGGAAAGGTGTTTGCTGCAAGGGTTTAGGGTTTGGGGTTTAGGGTGTAGTTCGGGTTTAGGGTTTAGGGTTTAGGGTTTGGGGTTTCGGGTTTAGGGTTAAGGGTTTGGGGCTACTAGGACCCTGAGTAGGCCCTCATGCGTTCCCTGCTAAGCCCCTTCAAGCCAAAAAAGGCAACCTTTTTATTCCTAGGGTGCTCTTGGGTCTAGTATCCCTCGGAGTTCATTGTTTTGCCAGGGTCTCAAGAACTAAACCCTAAACCCTAAGCCCTCAACCCTGAACCCTGAACCGTAAAACCTAAACCCTAAACCCTATGCAGAGGAACTGCCTCATGAGTTGCTGTGGCCTGGGGATTACTACCTATGATGGTGATGCAGCACCTCGGCTTTCAGTGCCTGATGCTCCTGGCCTTGAGCAAGTTCTACTTCTTAAATGAAGCATAAGTCAAAACCTCAAGACCTAAAGGACAAGCCCAAAACTCTGCCCCCAAGCCGTCCCCCCTCAAGTCCCTAAGCCCCCGGAACTCCTAACCTAAACCTATACCCTAAACCCGAAACCCTAAACCCGAAACCCTAAACCCTAAACCCTAAACCCTATACCCTAAACCCTAAACCCCTTGAGAGGAGCCTTGGCTGGCATTCTCGGTCCAGGACAAGGGAGCCAACCCTGACTTCATGAATGCTGGCAATGCCGCTCGGAGCCCACCACAAAACAACACCCTAAACCCTTGTTCCAAGGCGCTAAACCCTAAACCCTAAACCCTAAACCCTAAACCCTAAACCCTAAACCCTAAACCCTAAACCCTAAACCCTAAACCCTAAACCCTAAACCCTAAACCCTAAACCCTAGGGTTCATGGTCAAGACGTGGGGTGTTTTGGTGTTTAGATGGCTGATCTACGGGGTCTTCCGGCCTCTTGTCGCCGGTCTTCATACAAAGTCTTCTAGGGGTTTAGGGTTTAGGGTTTAGGGTTTAGGGTTTAGGGGTTTAGGGTTTAGGGGGTTTATAGGATTTCTAAGGTTTCTAGAGGGAGGGCTAGAGGGTTTCTAGGGTTGCTAGGGTTTGTAGGGTTTAGGGTTTAGGGTTTAGGGTTTAGGGTTTAGGGTTTAGGGTTTAGGGTTTAGGGCGAGGCAAGGGGCGGCTGACGGGGCCCTCGTCCCCGACTCCCCCTGCAGCCTGCGGAGCTCAGGGCTCCGCGTTCCCTACGACTCGGGTTAGGATTTAGGGTTCACGGGTCACGGGTCACGGGTTTAGGGTTTAGGGTTTAGGGTTTAGGGTTTAGGGTTTAGGGGAGAGAATGTATGGTGGGGGGCTGTGAGGGTCATGCGAGGGCGATTATTCTTGCAGGGTTATTGTAGGGTTATTATTATTGTAGGGTTATCTTCGGGTTTTTCTAGGGCCCCAGGAGATTTTTGAGTGCAATCTGGGACTCAGAAAAATTGCCCAAAACCAAAAACTTAAACCCTAAAACCTAAGCCCTGAACCCAAAACCCAAAACCCTAAACCCTAAACCCCTCAGGCGAGCATGCGGCAAAACAACTCCGACAGCACCTGGAGTCGTCTGGTCACCACTGCGCAGCTGCAGAACACAATGCCGAGGAGCCGGGCGATGTCATGGGTATAGGGTTTAGGGTTTAGGGTTTAGGGTTTAGGGTTTAGGGTTTAGGGTTTAGGATTAGGGTTTAGGGTTTAGGGTTTTCCTACTCAGTTCCCCCCTTCAGTAGCCTTTCTTGGGCTTGGTTATCCCTAAAGGGCCTTATAGAATTTATGTCGGGAACCTAGGGGGGTATCGAGGCGGGTAGTAGTGGAACCCATGGTTATCAAGGGACTAAAGGAAGGACCCTGAAAATATGAGGGATCATAGGGGTACTGTAGGGACGACAGAAGGTGCACATGGGGGTTCTGTAACTTCCAGGGGTCCCTCCCATCTCTTAAGGTTAAGGGTTAGGGTTCAGGGTTTGGGGTTTGGGGTTTGGGGCTTAGGGTTCAGGGTTTCGGGTTTCGGAGTTAGTTAGGGCTCTGGACAGAGCCATCACGAACTTTAAGACTTTAAGAAACTTAGGGCCTGGCACTTTGAGGATCTATGCGTCCCCGGAGAACAGCGCAGATAGGGCGCTCTACTTCGAGCCATACATGATGCTGGTGCGGCATCTCTGCGGGGTGTGGGACAAGCGGCTCAGCAGAAACAGCATCGTAACCTGCCCCTTCTCCCCTCCACCCGGACTCCACCCCATCTGGAAACGAGGGGGTCCTAAACATGCAAATCAAAGCATGTCGGTACAGGCATGCGAATGTCATCGCGGTGGAGCTGATGCTTCTCGGGCAGATCTGAAGCATGAGCTTTCTTCCTTACTGGCAGCTCCTTTTCGTGAAACCCTAAAAACCGCCTGAACCCCTCAATTCCCAAATCTCAAGCTGCAAGCCCGAAACCCTAAACCCTAAACCCTAAACCCTAAACCCTAAACCCTAAACCCTAAACCCTAAACCCTAAACCCTAAACCCTAAACCCTAAACCCTAAGCCCTAAACCCTAAACCCGAAACCCTAAGCCCCCGCACTTGAGGAACGAGCCGCCGCTGGGTGGGGGCCCGAGCTCACAGCTTTCGGCTCCCTTCAAATTCAGAGAGCTTGGGGTCGCCAGGGCCATGTATCAAGGCGTAGGGTTTAGGGTTTAGGGTTTAGGGTTTAGGGTTTAGGGTTTAGGGTTTAGGGTTTAGGGTTTAGGGTTTAGGGTTTAGGGTTTAGGGTTTAGGATGTATGTGGGTTTAGGGTTTCAGTTTCAGGTGGGTTGTCCTTCGGATCTGTGGGAGTTGGGGTTTAGAGGTTCCGGGTTCGCCTGGACTGATATGGCAAAAACCTGTCGCCTAACTGCGAAAAGCCCCGGCACCCCCAAGCCGGAACCTTAGACACAAAGACGAACTTCCAGGTCAAGCTGAAGGTTTTAGAGAGAGAGGGTTGAGGGTACGGTCGACTTGCACCACTCTATTCTAAGCTGACGCTTCTGTGGGTCTTCCTGCACATTGTTTGGGGGTCCCCAGCATTGCAGGTGCAAAAAAGGGTTCAGGATGTACCTCTTAAATACCTCCTTGTATACCCCCTTATAGACCCCTTCTGTACCCCTTCTATACTATACCCCATAGCACCCAAGGGGCCCGCACTTCAGAAACACGTGAGGAAGGTAATGTAAGGGACGTTGTCAGACGACCCTGCAACTACCCCTACTCCTAGAGTCGAGAGCCCTAAACCCTCAACCCTAAACCCTCTCGGGCTCAGATTCGGGGGCCGCCTCCAGTGTTCAGAAGAAGTTCATGAAACTGCTCGACTTCTAAGCCCCAAGCTTCTAAGCGCTAACTCCTAACTCCTAAACCCTAAACCCTAAACCTTCTACCTTCTAAACCCTAAGCCCCTGAACCTCGAACATCGAAGCCCAGCAAAACCTGACAAGAAAAGCAAGGTGGAGCGCATCAGTAGGGCTCGGGGGGCGACAGGATGGCTTGGGGCCCTAGGCCCTACATCCCCTAAAACCCCCCCGCAAAACTTTCAGGGTTCAGGTTTTAGGGTTTAGGGTTTAGGGTTTAGGGCTACCGCAGCCCGAAAAAGCCCTCGAGACCCACGAAGCCCTCAAGAAGCCGCAGGTGTCAGGGGACTCTACCTTTCACCCCTGGGTTCGGGGGCCCTTTGTTTCAGATCCTCGACAGGAAGATAATTTAGGGTTTAGGGTTTAGGGTTTAGGGTTTAGGGTTTAGGGTTTAGTGTTTAGGGTCTAGCCACACTTAGGAGTATGTTAAGGGGAGCCATGCAGGGGGTACAACCTTAGGGGTACCAGTCTGAATCCCTCCTTGGAGGTTCGTGGACTTATTATCCAATTATAACTGTACTTCTCACTGTACTTATAACCATATTAGGGCACTTAAGGGGGGCTCGTAAGTGGGTTACAAGTACAGTTATAACTGGTCAATAAGTACCCTAAACCCTAAACCCTACACCCTAAACCCTAAACCCTAAACCCTGGTTAATGAGTACCATGAACCTCCCAGTCCGAGTCTTTTTTCCCTCGCAGGTGGTCTGCCAAATCTCTGCAGCACCCTGACGATCTGGCGTCAAATCCTGGGCTTTTACGGCCACGTGCTGGCGGCAGCTTGTCTTACCAGCAGCGTTTAGTTAGGGTTTAGGGTTTAGGGGTCCAGGGTTAGGCTTTAAGGTTTAGGGTTTAGGGTTTAAGGTTTAGAGTGCACGTTTAGGGTTTAGTAGGGTTTAGGGCCACGAGAGCTACGTGCTCAGCCAGGCGCGCTGGGACAAGCCTGTGCAAAAAGGGTTTGGATCCTTTCCCGGCCGGATTTCAAGCAAGGATGCGAAATCGTTTGGGGAAACTTGAGTTTAGGGATTGGGGTTGGACACTTGGTTCTGGGGGCTTAAGTATGCGGAGTCCTGGACGCAAGAGGGGCGTGGGGATTCCTAGATGCAACAGTGTTTTGAAGCTTTGGTTTAGGCTGCTCAGAAGGGAGGGCGCAGTGAATTTCTTTTCGTCGCTGGCAGTGGCAGCAAAAAAATGGGTGTCGAGACAGGGAACAGGAGTCTTTATTGTGCCGAGTAGCGGTCGAGACCTCCTGGCCCCTCCCCCCACGACCACTGAGAAGGGGTGTGCGCCGGGGTGGCGGCGGAATTTCGGGCCGACGGTTGCGGCGTCCAGGGCGCCTGTCATCCCAGGAGCTGGATAAGGATCCCCGCATCAAGAGCCCCATCGCCATCGACAACTTCAGCAGCACGATTCCCGGTGCCTCGGAGCGACAGGCATAGACTGAAGGTCGACCAGTGCGGGTTTGGGTGTTTAGGGCTCAGGGGTTGGGATTTCCCCCGCTTAGACTAACAGGCCTAAATAGGGATTATAGTACCTCCCTATTCGAATCCTTACAAAGGACTGTGAGTATAGGGGCGAAGATCCTAATTCAGGGGTTTGGAAGCAAAAAAATGGATTCAGGGGTGTCTAGGGGTTGTCGCGTGACAGGCAGGAGTGCGGGGGTTCGGTGGGTAAGCTTAGTGCCGATGACCTAAAAAAATTGCCCGAGAGACAGAGAGAACATAAACAAAGAAACGCAGAGAACCAAAAAGCAAGAGGCGCTGGTGGAGGCCCGAGATATTGCACCAAGCCCAGTGGCATCGAACGCTCATCGAACATCCAGGAAACTTGAAGAACCTCAGAGCCACCCTAAACCCTAAACCCTAAACCCTAAACCCTAAACCCTAAACCCTAAACCCTAAACCCTAAACCACCAAAAGCACAAGCCAAGCTCCCCTCTCCGCAGCCCTCCCCGGAGAAAATGAAACCTAAACCCTAAACCCTAGACCCTAAACCCCAAACCCCAAACCCTAAACCCTAAACCCTAAACCCTAAATGCCCACTCTAGAGTCAGCCGCTGCTGACTGGTCTAGGAAGGCGAGCTTCAGCAACCCCAAAAACGCTGCTCCCAAGGTGAGGCATGCGAGATATCGTGCTTGGCCTGCTCGGGCACGGCACTCGGATTACTCATTCCTCAGCCCTAAACCCTGAACCCGAAAAACCCTAAACCCCAAACCCCAAACCCCAAACCCTAAACCCTAAACCCTAAACCCTAAACCCTAAACCCTAAACCCCAAACCCTAAACCCTAAACCCTAAACCTCGAAGAGTTCGGTTTGTGGGTTTCGTTTTGTCAAGAGGTGTTTGGAGGTTTGCTTGTTTGGGGTTACTTGGCGAAGGGAGGCAAGCCAGAGGCAAGCAAAGTTTTGCGGTTTGTGTTTGGACGTTAGGATCTAGGGTTTAGAGTTTATGCTGCTGCAAAAGGGTTTATGGTTTACCTCCAGCAGTTCAGCCTCAGAAATTGAGATGCGCTTGACTTTCGGAAACATAGTGTGGATGCAAGATCACCGGACACTATCTTCGAGCAAAAGAACTCATGCACCGAGTGTCGAAAATAAACGGAGGGTCCGCAAGCCACGATTGCAAACTGGCTGATCGAGACGTGCAAAGAACCCTATTTCCTAGTCGATCCCCAGATAGGCTTTCAGATCCAGTTCTGAACGCATGAGTCCTCTTTTGAGCAGGGCATTGTCGGTAGGCGGGCTCATTGTGGGAAAGAACCAATAGAGGCACGAAGACGCATGCTTTTTGACGGTGCCAGGAACAAAGTGAATCCTGTGCACGAAAGTTCTACCAGAAGACCCTGGGGGCGATGATGTTCCAGTTTGGTTGCTATGACGTTCGGCAATGCCCAGCTCCAGAAGACGTGGAGAGCAGTCTGAAGAACCGTAGTAGGAATTAGCGGGACGACAAGAACGAATAGTAACAGCTGTAGCTAGAAGCTGTAGCCTTGCGAAGAACCAGAAATTAGGACTTTAGATTTTACTTCAGATTCCCTCCCCCCAAAGAGAAGAAGACACCACACAACAGCAAGATAGGAACGTATATCGATGTACACATGCGGGGTGTTCAGATCACGGGAAGGAGTGACCATTATAAGACATGCATACCCGCATCGTACGGCTGCACTCACTTGTAAGAACGGAAATCCATGTAGCTTGGCCCTTGCGGCAGGCACGCCCAGCGCGGCTATGAAGCAATTCCAGTCCTACGCCGAGCGACGCTCTTGGCGGAAATATCCCGCAACAGTGGTTAGGATCTAGCGTGTCGGGCTGTTAGGGGTAATCATTGAGGATTTAGGACCCCCCCCCCCCCGGCGCCCCCTCCAAGGGGTACTTCCCATGTGTGGAGCGTTTCCTTCCCTGAGCCCCTAAGCCCTTGTCATCGATGCAGGGGGATCAGCCATATGTCAATTGTGGGTCTCTCTCGCAAGCAGCTCAACCATGTAGGGTTGAGGGCTTAGGGCTGAGGGTTTGGTTTAGGGGTCCTAGTCCCTGAGTCCAAAATCCCTCAAGCTGTCGGATTCAGGAAACCGCCTGATCTTGTCCTTCCACTACTACGCCCCTCCGGCCAATGCCCCTCGGCAAAGCAGGGGTCCTTTAGAGCTGGTTTTCAGGATGTTTTGGGGTTTAGCGTTTGGGGTTTAGGGTTTGGGGTTTAGGGTCTGGGGTTTTGGGTTTAGCGTTTAGGGGGTCGGGGGCTTTAGGGGCTGGGATTATGGGGCTTTGGTTGAGTCGATACAGGCCACGTGTTGCCGTGGGTTCAACATTAGGGACGACACGAGGCAACAGCAGCAAGAAGAGTACTATTATTGTAGAATGAGAATAGTAATAGCACTAGTAAGAGGAAAATAGAACGTCTTCATGGTAACAAGAAGACAGTGCCACAGGAGTTATGCCCATTCTTATTGGTCTTGCGACATAGCGCACGAGGGAGTGAGACATGCAACCCTAAACCCTAAACCCTAAACTCCTAAACCCCTAAACCCTAAACCGATGCAAGTCCATGAGCAGGCCCAAGGAGGTCGGAGGGGTGTTGGTGCACCTAAACCCTAAACCCTTCGTAATCGGCGGGTCGGAGCAAATTACTACTAGTCTTCCCTTAGGGTCCCTTTATTCTTATACTATGATAATCCCCCCCCCCCCCCCCCAAAAAAAAAAAAGCCCGTTCTAATGATTAAGGCACCTTTTTGGGTATTACCGGATAGGGGTACCCCTTTTAGACCCCGAACAGAATAGAATCCCCTCAAAGGGACCCCCCGCCCATTTTCGGAAACCCCCCTAAACCTTAAACCCTAAACCCTAAACCCTAAAGCTTAAAACCCTAAAGCTTAAAACCCTAAACCCTAAGCCCTAAACCTTAAACCCTAAACCCCCAAACCTAAACCCCAAATCCTAAACCCTAAGCCGAAAAAAGCCAGAAACCCCAAGCCGTGGCAAGGTCAGCTGGGAGAAGATGGTCGAGCTAGCCAAGGCAAATGCCCAGCATCTTGGAAGCAAGTGTTTAGGGTTTCAGGGTTTGGGGTTTAGGGTCCAGGGTCTAGGGCTTCGGGATTGGGGTTTAGGGTTTAGGGGTTTAGGGATCTAGGGGTTTAGGGGTTTGGGGGTTTAGGGGTTTAGGGGTTTAGGGGTTTAGGGGTTTAGGGGTTTAGGGTTCAGGGTTGAGGGTCTAGGGTTTAGGGTTTAGACTTTAGAGTTCGTTTGCCGTGCGTTTCCGTCTTCACATGAAAGCGAAGATTTTTCCGGGCTGTGTTTTTCTGTTTCGAGCTTTTGGTGGCAGGCTTTGAGAAGGGTTGCTCACTGGCCTGTTGCCAAAGAAGTGCCGGTGTCTCTTGGGCTTTCCGACGTGTGTTTCGCGATATTTTGGCGATAGCCACAACGGCGTTTGCTCGTTCATGTTGAGGTCATTCTTGAAGAATCCACCCCCCCCCCCCCCCCCCCCCCCCCCCTGTTCGGGCGATAAGTTTAAGAGTTCCCCGAACTTATACACTGAGATGCCACAAGGGTTCAGGCCAGCAACTGGTCAGACCAGTCGGCTTTGGGTGTTCATCGGCTTGACTGGTTCCAGCCAGCAAGCTACGAATGCGCATATGTCACGTGGCCTCATACCTGGACAAGTTCGAAAGTCTGTGCTGCGTAAGCTTGCAGAGCCAGACGTCTACGAGGATGTCGGATGTTCCCCTTATATTAACTGTCCTTAGTAGGGATTATAGTACCCCGATTATAATCCCAGATTTGGGGCAACACCGCTTTCTGGAAGGAGGCATGACGTTGTCTTCCAATGTGCAGCGACGTTCACCCCACGCACACTCACACACACACACACACACGCGCGCATACATATTCTTCCTCAATGTAAATCTTCTTAAATCTCGTGTGCTGCAAGCTTAGAGAGTCGCCAGCAGCTCATGTGATGCACATGGCGTTACAAATTGCGGGGGGGGGGGGGGGGCACGAACCATTGACACGCAGCCGTGAGGTCTTGCTCCGAGATGGACAGTTTCTGAGTCTAAAAAGGCTTCTCCATCCGGTCAAGATGCTGCGTGTCCGCATGCTCTCTGGTGAAGAGGTTGCCTGCCTGCCTGTGGCGGAGGTGAGCAGCGTGAGGGAAGTGAAGCAGCGATTGCACCATCTGCATGGCCTGCCTCCACGCTTCAGGCACTTGGGAGGTTCATGGTACTTTATTAACCAATTATAAGGGTACTTATAGGGTTGGGGTTTAGGGTTTAGGGTAACCAATCTTAACTGTACTGCTTAAAGGGGCTTATGAGTGGGTGATGAGTACAGCTGCCATTGGTTAAAAAACGTACCATGAACCTTCAGGCAGAGGCTCCTCCTCCAGGGCGCCGTCCACGGCTGCAGTCTGCATGATGCCGACCTGCTCGACTCGTTTGTGGACCTTGAACTTGTGCTGCTTTCTTTCTCCGGCACTTCCCAGACAGACGTTTCCAAGCTGATAGCTGCCGCCAGCAATGGCTCAGTGGAAGAGGCAGGGGGTTTGCAGCATGACCCGTGCCACGACGTGAAACCTGTAGCCGATATGCCCGAAGAAGCCTTAAATAGGGGCCCAAATGCAACCCCGATTCGGAAACCTACAGGTCGAGTCCTTGCTTCAGTTGCCCCTGGATCCAAATGTGGCCGCAGCTGGTCGTACTGCGATTCTATGTGCATCTGAGTTTGGCCACGTGGCAGTAGTGCAATTGCTGCTGGAGGCCGGCGCCGACAAGGACATGGCCGACGACGATGGCGGCGACACCGCCCTGATGGCTGCAGCTCTCCGTGGCCATGTTGAAGTTGTGCGTTTGCTGCTGGACGCTGGCGCTGACAAGGATTCGGCCAACAGGCGGGGCTGCACGGCCATGATGCTGGCAGCTGGCCAGGGCCATGCTCGAGTGGTGCAGCTGCTGGCTGAGGCCGGAGCCGACAAGGACTTGGCCAACAAGGATGACTGCACCGCCCTGATGCTCGCAGCTGGCCACGGCCATGCTCCAGTCGTGGAGCTCCTGGTGGAATCCGGAGCCGACAAGGACTTGGCCAACATTGATGACACCACAGCCCTGGCGGTGGCCGCTTGCGTGGGCCACGCCGAGGTCGTCCGCTTCCTGGTGGAGGCGGGTGCCGACAAGGATGCAGCCGACGACATGGCCCGCACGGCCCTAATCTGGGCAGCTGTCAACTGCCACGTTGATGTCGTGCGCTTGCTGGTGGAGGCGGGCGCCAACATGGACGTGGCCGACGAAGATGGCAACACAGCTCTGATGCTCGCTGCTCGCAAGGGCCACGTTGAAGTCGTGCATGTGCTGACGGAGGCCGGCGCCGACAAGGAGGTGGACGATGAAGACGGCAACACAGCTGTGATGCTTGCAGCTATCTTCGAGCGCGTTGAAGTTGTGCGCTTGCTGGTGGAGGCCGGCGCCGACAAGGAGGTGGCCAACATCGAGGGCCGCACAGCCCTGATGCTTGCGGCTCGCAACGGCTTCTCTGAGGTCGCGCAGTTGCTTGCAGGCCCCCTCTGTGAACGAAGAGACCGCGCGCGCAAGCCCCCAGCTGCGAGGAAACAAAACGCGCACTGCCCTCCGAAGACAACTCGAGCGCTCAGCCACCAAAGCCCACACTGAAACCCAGGGCCCGGTGAAGCTAAAGAACAAAACCCCAGCCATCCTAACCCTAAACCCTAAACCCTAAACCCTAAACCCTAAACCCTAAACCCTAAACCCTAAACCCTAAACCCTAAACCCTAAACCCTAAACCCTAAACCCTAAACCCTAAACCCTAAACCCTAAACCCTAAACCCCCCAGGAAAAGGCCTCAATTGACCGGCGATTGCTCAAGCCCTGAAAGGGCTTGGGGTTGCCGCAAACGTGCCTTGAAATCAGAGTTATACGATGAGAACACACCAAAACCCTCTTCTCGTGACTGAGGCCAGGATATGATGATTATGGGCATTTCCCAAATTAGGGGTACCACCTTTCATCCCCCAATTAGAGTAGCAGGCCCTGGAAGGGAACTTTCGGAAACTCGAAGCCTTTAAATCCCATTCGGCCCGTATATTATGCCTCCCCCCTGGCCCCCAGAAACGTGGACCTAAATGGCTCTAAGGAAGCTGGGTGGCGTCCCTGTCTGGCTCAGCGAGTATTGGGAGGCCGGGTTGCCCTAAAACCGAACTCTAGACCCCAAACCCCAAACCCGAAACCCTAAACCCCAAACCCTAAACCCTAAACCCGAAACCTTCAGAGAGTTCAGAAAGCTTGAGGGCCTGGCTTTCCACAAGTTTCGGGTGGGCATGTCTGCAACATCTGCTTCCGACGTCCTTTCTGCCTCATGGAGCTTGGGTTTAGGGTTTGGCAAAGAGGGTTTAAATGAATACATGCATACATAAGCATATATATATATAGATGAATGACTATATGTAGGGGGTTTAGGGTTGGGGGTCGGGTGTGAGTTTCAGAGTCTCCAAAGGAAGCCGGCCGTCAGCAAACCTTGAACTCAGCCCTGCGAGAAAGCTGGAGATCTGTGGACTATTGTGGGCCCGAACCCCCAGATCGCCTTCCGGTCTTACCTGCAGTTTAGGGTCTAGGGTTTAGGGTTTAGGGTTTCGGGTTTAGAGTTTAGGGTTTAGGGTTTAGGGCTTAGGGCTTAGGGCTTAGGGTTGTGCGCCAGGCATCGGCGCAGGAGATGGCAGACAAGCTCGCGCTCAGCACGGACATGTGGCAGCGGGTGGTGGGATGGTGGATGGGTTTAGGGTTTAGGGTGTAGGGTTTCGGGTTTTGGGGCAGAGGTCGGGTGCTCCTGAAAATGCATTCCGTCAACGCAACAGTTTATTTTGTTCCAATTTGTGTCCGTGTTTCGGGGTACGGGTTAGGGTGCTCGGGCCCGGGGCAGGTCGGCCGGCAGGTCCTGGCAGACAGGCCTGATATCTGTAATGCAGGCCTCGCAACTGCAAGTGGGGCCGAAGCCCTAAACCCTAAACCCTAAACCCTAAACCCTAAACCCTAAACCCTAAACCCTAAACCCTAAACCCTAAACCCTAAACCCCAAACCCTAAACCCCAAACCCAAAAGCCTAAACCCTCTTTAATGGACCCTCAGAGCTTCCACGGACTTAGAGAAGGGCGGTCTGCAAGTTGCTTGGTTTTAAGGGCTATAAGGAGGGACCCCTAGAAGGTACCCTTCATCTTATTCCCCTTTACAACCCCTATAAGGCCCTATATATGCCTTATCTAGTCCAGATACCTATCTAACCCCGAGGGTCCCTTACAAGCGGCCCCCCTTTAGTCCCTTGAGTCTTTTTGCGGGAACGCCACCGGGAGCCCCCAAAGACGGGCGCATCAACTTTTTGAAGCCTTGATAGCCCGGCTCAGAGCATCCTTGCGTCGCAGGATCTGGGAGTGCCGGCCACGACCTACTGGCAATATGCTCCTTGCCGGACGTTTGGGGTTTGGGGTTTAGGATTTAGGGTTTGGAGTTTCTGCATTACTGCGTTTGCCTTGACAGAAAGTTTTCCCAGCTGACTTCAGGAGTCTGGGTTCCAAAAAAAGAGGGGGTTTGGGGTTTAGGGGTCGACGTGAGAATGGGTTCGCGAGGCTTCTGGCCGTAGCTGCGAGTGCTAGGTCCCTTGTTTGTTGCTGAAATCACAGCGTGTAGGGTTTAGGGTAAGTACCAAAAACCGGCTCAGCGGACCCGGGTGCTCCTCCCCCAAACCTAAGAGTCGTCTCCTAGTGAAGGTCAGCTAAGCTCTGCGGGCAAAAGGCCTAAACCCTACAACCCTACAAACCCTAAAACCCCTAAAAGCCGACGCCCCTAAATCCTAAGCCCCTAAAGAAAACCCCAAAACCCTACAAACCCTAATGCCCCTAAGAGCCGAAAACCCATAAATCCCAAACCCCTTGAAAAAAAGCCCTAACCCGAAGAGCCGAACCCCAAAGTGTCGCGCAAGCCCTGGGCCCCTTAAGGCGGACACGACCTACACGCAGACCGAAGGCTTGGCAGCTCTGGTTTAGGGTTTAGGGTTTAGGGTTTAGGGTTTAGGGATTAGGGATTAGGGATTGAGGGCTTAGGGGTTTAGGGCTTAGGGGTTTAGGGTTTAGGGTAGAGGGTTTAGAGTTGAGGGTTTAGGGTTGCAAAAGCCTCTAAACCCTGAACCCCTATATACCCCTAAACCCTCTACCCCTAAACCCTAGACCCCTCAACCCTGGACCCGAAACCCTCTACCTCTAAACCCTCTACCCCTAAACCCTCTACCCCTAAACCCCATACCCTACACCCTATATACCTAAACCCGATACAGCTAAACCCTGTACGCCTAAACCCTGTACCCCTAAACCCTGTACCCCTAAACCCTAAACCCTCAACCCCTAAACCCTATACCCCGCCATGAGCTTGAGGGTTTGGGGGATGAGGGCCCATTCGTCTACGAGGCCTGGATGCAACAAGGGTCGCTCGGGGGCTGATGGTTTTGGGGTTTGGGGTTTGGCATTGCTGTGCACCGTTTGGCTCAGGGTCTCTATCAGTTGCCCGGACGGAAACCCTAAACCCTATAAGCCTTAAACCCCAGCGGCAGAAACACTAAACCCGAAACCCTAAACCCTGAACCCTAAACCCTAAACCCCAAACTCCAAAAGGATGGTACATGTACGACGAAGCCGTGCTCAGCGCGGGTGGCGTCCCAGTTAGCTCCAGCGCCTCGGCGGCATGTTTTGCCTTGTTTTTTTTTTTTTGGGGGGTGGGGGGGGTTAGGGTTGAGGGTTTAGGGTTTAGGGTTTAGGGTTTAGGGTCCTTGTTTCTTTTGGGTTGGGGTTATTGGGAGTTTAGGGTTCAGGGTTTAGGGTCCTTTCTTCTTCTGGGGTTGGGGTTATTGCGGGTTTAGGGTTTAGGGTGTAGGGTTTAGGGTTTAGGTTGAGGTTATTGGGGGTTTGGGGTTTAGGGTGTAGGGCTTAGGGTTTCAGGTCATTGTTTCTTTTGGGTTGGGGTTATTGGGGGTTTAGGGTTTTGTAGTTTTAGGGTTTCGGGTTTTTGTGGTTTAGGGTTTTAGGGTTTAGGGTTGCTGGTGCTTTTCGGATTTGCATTGCATGGATTCTGGCTAGCCTTTCAGACCAGTCTTGTTTCTGTTGGTTGGGGTTCGGGCTTAGGGATTGGGGACCGTATGCGGGATTTCGCAGTGTTTGCTGTCATGTTGGGTGAGGCGATGGTGCGTAAGTTGCATGCCCATCTCAAGTCTGAGACCCTGCTTGCTGGCCTCGTGGGGGCGTGCAGAAAGACTAAGCACGATGCGTGCGAGTGGAATCTTCAAACGGAAAATGATATTGAGAATGGGCCAGGGCGGTTTGTGCGCAGGACAAGGCAGCAGGTAGGGGCCCTTTGATATCGAGCACATGCCAAAGCCACCCGTGTGGGAGCGGAGGGAGAGGGGGGAGAGACGGAGAGGGCGAGGGACGAAGGGATAGTCCGCAGGTGGAGTCATCAACGACAAGGCCACCGGGGTCCAGGGACTTAGGGCTTTTCATCTCAAAGGGCGCCGTAGTGACGACGCGCGAGGGGACTGGCAGTGGCGTCTCAGTGCATCTACCACCCCAACAACATAGCGCACCTTCACCGGCACACCTGCCACAATCTGAGTGTGAAGAGTAGAGGGTCCTGTCTCCAGGTTTGGTAGCGGAGGGCGCAAGGAGCAACGCATATAGCACTGCACAGCACGGACAATCTTAACCCTCATCCGAAGGAACCGGCCCCTGTGGTTTTTTCCTTTGTTCCCTCTGCAGCTACGCCCGAGCCTGGTGCACCCAAAATCCACCCTAAACCCTAAACCCTAAACCCTAAACCCTAAGCCCTAAACCCTAAACCCTAAACCCCCAACCCTAAACCCTAAACCCACCGCAGCGCAGTCTTGGCCGACCTACCAGCAGACGGTGAGGGACGGCACGTTCTTTGGAGCCAGCAGCTGACCGGCGGTTTGACCCCCCTTGAAAAAGCCGTGCCTAGGGCCCGCCCTCCCCCCAGTTACTGTAATAATAAGAGTAAAACCACTACTAATAATAATAGCAATAATAATAGTAATGATAATAATAATAACAATAATAATACTCATAATAATAATAAGAATGGAAATAATGTCCGCAGAGTCCCTTCGGCCGGCCTCCCAGCCTCTAAGCCCTGACCCTTCGACACGTGGCATCCGGAACCTGTCCTGGGGCGCCCCTAAACCCTAAACCCTAAACCCTAAACCCTAAACCCTAAACCCTAAACCCTGAATCAAGATGCCGAGGCATCACTGGAGCGGAAGGCCATCTGGGGGTTTCCGAGATTAGGGGGGGGGTCCTCATCTTAAGGGGATCCTACTATTTGGGGGGTCTATTGAAGGGCTCCCCTATTTGCGTTTAACAAAGAACCGTCTGGGGCTGTGGACATGTTGCCCTAAACCCTAAACCCTAAACCCTAAACCCTAAACCCTAAACCCTAAACCCTAAACCCTAAACCTATTTTCTGACCCGGGGTTATGGGGTTTGGGGGCAGGAGCCTTCTTCGTTCCCGCCACAGCCCTTGCCCAGAACCCCAAGACCGAGACACCTAGACTTTCAGGTACCTAATATGCCAGCTCGGCGGGCAAAAAGAACCCTGAGGAGTTCCAGTAAGGGATGCGCACGGTCTTGGGACGATCCCCCATAGTTTCTGCTCACAGGCGCCCAAGAGGGAGTGCTGCGGCTGGTACCCGCGGATTCTAAGCTCTTCACTGGAGTGGGGGGTCGGAGGTTCTTTTGTTTTCAAATATTTTCAAAATAGGGGTTTAGGGTTTAGGGTTCAGGGTTTGGGTTGGGGCTTAGTTGGGAACAGTCCCCGAAACAAACATTTCGATGCCCTGCCGGGGCCGGGGTTTCGAGGTTTCGGGGTTTAGGGTTTAGGGTTTCGGGACCTGGAACCTTCTTGAATATCTTCTAACGGCACCCTCCCCATGCGGCGAAGTTGTTCATGTTGGCCAAGCAAATCATTCTCGTCGGTTCCGGTGCCCGGGAACGATACTTCCGCGAGAGCGGTTCTCAGATGAGGATACATTGAATGCAGTAGCCGGCGGCTACTAGGGCAAAATAGGACATACATGCGAAGCTACCCAGCTACCCTTCGGCTGAGCCCTCTTAAACATTGTCAAACCCAAGCCTAGGCTGCAAGGCCCATGCATTGCCGTGGAGAATCCAAAACCCCAAGCTTTAAAAAGCTCAAACCCTGAACGCAAAAATCGCAAACTCCCCAAGCCTTCAAACCCCAACTCCAGAACCCCCCGGACCCTAAACCCTAAACTCCAAAACCCTAATAAACCCTCAAAACCCTCCCAAGGACAGCCAACTGGAATCCAGGCGGGGCCAGGCAAAGCGCTGGCCCGACACTTGGGTTTAGAGTTGTCAGTTCAGGGCCTCATTGGTGGGGTGGCGCCCCTAAACCCTAAACACCTAAACCCTAACCCTAAACCCTAAACCCTAAACCCTAAACCCTAAACCCTAAACCCTAAACCCTAAACCCTAATAAACCCTCACCCCATGATTAAGAGTAGAGGGGGGGAGCTTAGTGAGGTCGAGGGGACGGGCGGCTTGAGGTCGGGTTTCGGTTTTATCGGGCCTGGGGTCTAAAGTTCTGTTGCGCTTTGCACACTGCTTGGAGGGTTTAGGGTTTAGGGTTTAGGGTTTAGGGTTTAGGGTTTAGGGTACTTATCAACCAATTATAGCTGTACTTACAACTGTACTTCTAACCGTCCTAGGGCACTTAGGGGGCTCATAAGTACGGTTAATAAGTACCATGAACCTCCAAGTGCACCCCTCAACCCCCGGATTGTGACCCGGCGGTGTGGCTGGGCGGGTGGCACAAAAGGTTCAGGGTTTAGGATTGAAGGGTTAAGGGTTTAGAGTTTAGACCCTAAAAATCCTTACTTCCTACAAATTTTGAAATGGGAACGTTGCATCTGTGTACCCCTCTGGACTTGAGCTTTAAGATCTTTCTCGCGCCATGCGTGATCTCTCGGCTCTTTGCTCGGGACCTGCAGGGATTCCTGGGGAGGTTTTTCAGGGTTCGGGCCTGGGTTTCGCGGATCTTCTGGGCCCTAAACCCTAAACCCTAAACCCTAAACCCTAAACCCTAAACCCTAAACCCTAAACCCTAGGCCTTAGGGTTTTAGGGTTTAGAGCAGCCAAGGACTACGCGAAAACCTTCCTGCACAAAGTCAGGAGGCATCTTGCGGCCAAGTGACTGGCCTAGTCGGAGGTTGCAAGCAGCTGTTTCAAGCTTTGTCTTGCTGGTTCTGGTTCGTAGGGGGTTGTAAATCCCTAAGCCCTAAACCTTGTTTCCAAAAGAACCCTTATAAGACCTCAAAGGGCTGCGTAGCAGGGGCATGGAGGGTGCCCTCTCCCGTGCAGGGTTTAGGGTTTAGGGTTTGGGGTTTGGGGTCTAGGGTTTGGGGTTTAGGGTTACAGTCGAATCAGTAGGAGTTCTTTTTGGCTCCCCCCTGGCTCGCCACGACAGCTTCAAAGTGAGCTTGGCGATTGGGAGGGTGCACAGCAACCGGGTTCCCAGCTCGGGGGGCCTTCGCCCTACGACATACGAAGCCCGGGTAAAGCCTTCTTCATCCTAAAGGTTCAGGGCTCAGGGTTCAGGGTTCAGGGTTCAGGGTTTAGGGTTTAGGGTTTAGGGTTTAGGATTTACGGCAATAGTGCGCGACCCTAAACCACCCCCCCCCCCCCCCCCCCCCCCCCCCCAAAAAAAAGCTTGTGGCTTTCCGGGCTGGGTCCGGTTCTCCCCTCGCGGTCGGGATCAGGGCTTCAAGGCAACAATGGGTTTAGGGTTTAGGGTTTAGGGTTTGGGGTTTGGGGTTTAGGGTTCAGGGTTTAGGGTACCATCTTGATAGCACTCATACCAAGAATGAGCAGAACACTCGCAATAGCCGAAGGTCTTTTCATCGCCCTAAGCCCTAAACCCTAAACCACCCGCAACCCTAATCCCTAAACCCTAAACCCTAAACCCTTCTTTTGCACACAACATCCAAGCCCCAGCCCTGAGTAACGAAGTTGAGGGGAGCTGCAGCGGAAGGGAATCGAGCAAAAAAGCGCGCGTCCGCATGTTCGGGGCGGCCCCTAAACCCTAAACCCTGAACCCTGAACCCTAAACCCTCAACCCTAAAGCCTAATCCCTAAACCCTAAACCCTAAACCATGGAGTCGAAACCCCCTGACTGTGCCTTTACCAGTACAGACTTGGGCGCGGCCTGGCTTTAGGGGTTTCGACTTCCTGCAGCGCGGGTGTTGGCAAAGCCCTACTTGGAGGTTCATGGTACTTATTCCCCAATTTTAATTGTATCTACGACTGTACTTATAACCCCTATTAGGGCACTAGTGCAGCTATAATTGGTTAATAACTACCATGAAGCTCCAAGTATAGGTTGAAAAAAGGGGTTTGGGGCTCAGGGTCAGCCACCCAGTCCGGTTTCAAAAGGCTTCGCCCGTCTCCTTATATGCCCTGAAGAAGGGAAGGGTGGCTACCACCCTTAAAGTGAGTAGCTACCCGAAGAGTCGTGCCTTTTCCAGTTGCGTTGTTCTCCGTCCGGCCTGTACAAAGAAACAGGATTTCTTCAGGTAGTCTGAGTGTCAAAATGTCCCCCCCCCCCCTGCCCCCTGCCCCCAACACCCAACACCTCTGCGTTTCAGGTACTTGCAGCTTGCTGGCCAGCGTCAGCACACCTGAAAGGCATCCGCAAGAGTTGCAGGGGCCCGGGCGCTGCTGCAAGCCTTGGAAGTTCCCGGGCTCGTGCGTTGGTACGATAATGAAATCATGTCGTAGTATACTATGAGAAGTACTCATATAATCATCTAAGAATATCATGTTTGGGGTTTCGGGCTCCAGGATCAAAATTGAGGATTTTGGGGTTTTTTGGTGCTTCGCAGGAAACGTTGGGGCACACAATTCGTGATGAGCTAATGATGCTTCGAAGTGCGTGACGCCCTCTGCCGCTGGAACCATTCGGCTCTGTGATGCTTTGCAGAAGGCAATCTCAGGGCTGCGAACAAGCACAAAGCTGCTCCAGACCCCAAGCCCTTATATAGTCCTCACCCTAAGCCCCAAACCCTGAACCGCACACCAAAAGCCCCACAAGAAGCCGCTCTCATGCAGCCTCATTGCAATAGAGAGCCCTGAGAACATAAGTGCTCGGCCTGGAAGGTCTGAAGCCCCTGCACACCAAAGTCGAAACCCTACACCCTAAACCCTACATCCCAAAACCCCAAACCCCAAACCCCAAACCCCAAACCCCAAACCCCAAACCCCAAACCCCAAACCCCAAACCCCAAACCCCAAACCCTAAACCCTAACCCTAACCCTAAACTCTAAACCCTAAACCCTAAGCCCTACACCCTAAACCCTAAACCTCAAACCTAAACCCGAACCCTAAACCCAAAGCCCTAAACCCTGCGTCCACCGCCATGGATTGCCTGGTCGTGCGGCGGTCTGAACAGGTCGACACTGCGCGTGAGGCATCGCGCGGTTCTTGCCTTGAAACAACCCTAAACCCAGACCGAGAACCCCTAAAACCGTGCCAAAACCCTCACCACAAAACCCTAAACCCTTTTTTTGCATCCGGCCTTGGTTCCAACTCTAAACCCAGAACCCTTTCAGAGACAGCGACGAGTAAACCCTAAAGAAGAACTGCGGGTTGAGGGGGTTTAGGGTTTAGGGTTTAGGGTTTAGGGTTAGGGCTTGCTTTCCTTGAGGCCCCATTTGCAAAGGATCCCTATCACTGCGTACAAAGCTCGGGCAGCTCGGATCTGGGGCTCTGGGTGTTCAGGAGGGGTTTAGGGTCTATGGTTTAGGGTGGCGAGTTGTGCAAAGCCTGCTGCAACAAGGGCTTTGTCTCAAATCCTACACTCCTCACCCTCCAGGAGGACCAGCTGAAGGCGCTTGCGACGTTGGGCTACACATGCCGACAGCTTCTGACAACCACGCTCTCGCAGGACGGGTGTTGAAGAAGGACGTAGTCCAGGGTTCGTTCAAGCAAAGTCAGCGGCAGTTTGGGGACTTCCCTTCCGAAACCTTGAACTGAAACCCTGAGCCCTTTAACTACATCGCAGTTCTCTCGCCGAGCTTGATTCATTGATCGCAGTTGAGCTGCGAGCCTTAAGCTGCCCTAAACCCTAAACCCTAAACCCTAAACCCTAAAACCCTGAACCGCTGCAGGGCTACGCGCAGGGCCCTTTGCATAGCCGACAGCTCGCACAGCCCGTGCAAGATTTCGATGTTGGGGGGTTTTGGGGTTTAGGGTTTAGGGTTCATCAGCCCCTACAGAGACACCGCGCCCCAAGCCTCGCTCAGCAAGGGTTTAGGGTTTAACTGCTAGCTTTCTTGGATGTGCACTTCATACACGCGCAGTCCTGGATGAAGGCCATCTGGGGAAGTTTGAGTGTGTTGCGGGTCCATCCTCAAGCCACAGAGGTTGCAGGCCACCCACGATGAGTGAGCCTTGTAAGAGTTTGTGTGTGTGTGTTGTTTGCTACTGGGCTGTGCAAATGTGCGGCTTGGTGGGCCCAGCTGATGCTTTCAGTCGTGGTCCAGAGTCTGGGTTTACCAAGGGCTTAGGATTGGGATGCGCTTGTTGATCAATTGTCCTTAGCAAGGGCCTCCGCATCTTCCACTCTCAGCGAACCCCACGAACTCCTCAAACTGCGAGTGCTTAACTTGAACACAATATATGAAAGCAGGTGAACATGTAAAGTGGTATAAGACTAAGAAAGTAAAGATGTCATGAGAATATGATGATGACAAACGGTTTTCAGACAAGCTCGGTTCCTTTAATGGACATCCTCCCAGACTCCCAAACACCAGACTCTGTATAGACTCAGTATAGACCCTAAATCCTAAACCCAAGTCGATATCACCTAGCCCCAGCTCCTCACGAATCGCCAAAGAATCAGGGGTTGGGGAAAAAGGGTTAAAAGGGTTTACATATGTAAAGAAAATCCAGAAATGAAGCGAGGAGGACCGCCTGCAGACCTACGGCTTCGTCCCTTGGGCCTTTGGCATCATCTGTCCCTCCCAACCAAACCCTAAACCCTAAACCCCTCCCAACCCCCCTGGCTGAAGAGAGATCGGCAAGAAGATTTTGAGTATGTCAAAAAGCAGAGGGTGTTCGGAGTCGATTGGGGCTATCTAGCCATCTAACTATCTATCTATCAATGTTGTATAGTACCATTACCACATGCACACACACACACACACACCCACCCCCCCACCCACCCACCCCCACACCCACACCCACACCCACACCCACACCCACACCCACACACCCACACACCCACACACCCACACACCCACACACCCACACACCCACACACCCACACACCCACACACCCACACACCCACACACCCACACACCCACACACCCACACACCCACACACCCACACACCCACACACCCACACACCCACACACCCACACACCCACACACCCACACACCCACACACCCACACACCCACACACCCACACACCCACACACCCACACACCCACACAC